TTTTTAATTTGACTCTCTACTTCTTTCAGAAATAGAGTGGGTTTTTTTTGAAAAAAGGGACTACTTGTTCTCTGCAGGCAGCGGCCAAGAGCTGGCTCACACTTGCTGGGTTTCGTCAGGTTTCCCTCCGAATATGGCAGGAAACAACATAGTGTAACAAGGCAAAACTTAAAACTCCAGTTTCAGACGCTCACTGAGAATCTCTGGAATACAGGCACTGATAAAGGTGCTCTTTGTTCTGAGTGTGATCACTGTTTTAAGATACTTGCAGGATGAAAAAAAATCGCAATTCTTAGTCTTCAATTCAGAGTCAAATCTTCCTGACAAGTCTGCTCTCTGTCTCCTGCTGTTCTGACTTAAAAATACAGGTGCTAATCTGCCTTTTTCCCTCTCTTCTAGGGCTTTAAACATGGGGAACACAAGCAGTGAGCGAGCAGGCCTAGAGCGTCATGGGCATAAGGCATCCCGAGCTGACAACTCAGGAGGAGCCATCAGTACAAAAGAGGGTGATAGGCCAAAAATCTTGATGGATAGTCCTGAAGATGCAGACCTGTTCCAGGAAATGAAGGTATTGCTGGGTTGCCTTTGGTGAAATACGGATTGTCCGAGTGTGTCAGTTTTGAGCTGTTCTTTATCAAGATGTGTTCCTAGGCACCGCTGGATAAAGAAGAGTTCCTGGCCTGGCAGCAAGATCTGGAAGTGAGTGATAAAACCCCCACTCAGGCTCGACCGACAGTCTTCCGTTGGACTGGAGGAGGGAAAGAAGTTTATTTATCTGGGTCCTTCAACAACTGGAGTAAAATTCCTCTGACAAGGAGGTAATAAACTTTCGCTGTATCAGTAATGCAAAACAATCTCTGAGGATTAGTGCAATGAGAAAGCTGGTGCTTAGTGTTGGCACGTTCATAACAAGGCCTTGAGGAGAGAGGAAGGAATCTGTGTTTCTCTGTTCCTGTTTTGAGAAAGGAGATATAGAAAGGAGATATCGGGATCTCTTTAGAGGCTGAAAAAAAATAGCAGAACTGAATCAAACGGGCTGAAGTAAAAAAAGAGTTCATTATTCCAAACTGAATTCTCAAATCCAGCTCTGTGATGGTATATGCTGGCGCTCCTTTCCTGAGAAGAGAAATGGTGGTATTGCCTGGCCTGTTGGAATTGTTCACATGGCACTGTCTCTCTCTGAGCATTTTTGAGATGCCAGTAAAGCGTTCCAGAGAACTGAAAGGTTCACAGCCCGAGGGTGTCAAAAATACCAAACGATAGCTATTCAAACGCAAGGTATGTCCAACTGACAGAACTGATGCTTTCGTCTTCCAGTCATTGTTTATTCACTTCCCTGGCACCTGTGAAATGCAATTTGTGATGACAAATCCTGGAAGGCAAGAAAAATTAAACTTTTTTTTTTTTCCATCAACAGAAGCATTGATGGCAAAATGAGGTCTTATGTACTAACAAGTAAAATGAGGCTGTCAGAATGACTTTATGAAAGTTCCACACTACTTCCCTTATGATGCCAAGAGTATCAGTATTAATTTTGGATGTACTTGCGTGTCACATTAACTGTAATTTGATTCTTTTATATTACACATGAGATTCTCTTAAACATGGTGTTGCCATATTGACTTTCTGCATGTTAAGGCGATTCGTATTCTATGTTATGATGTTTGTCACATAAATTGATGCACTTTTCAGAATATTTCATGGGTGATTGTCTTTTAAATTCTAGTCACAATAACTTTGTGGCAATCCTGGACCTGCCAGAAGGAGAGCACCAGTACAAGTTCTTTGTGGATGGACAGTGGACACATGATCCTTCAGAGGTAATGCTTTCTTTGATTTAATATGTTTACCGATTGATGAAAAAAAAGGGTGGATGTTATTCTGCACCAGTAACTGGCCTTTTCAGAGAGAAAGCACTTGTTAACAAGCTGCCTTACTTAGATGGTGGCACCTGACTGGTAGCCTAAAATGATAGGAGACTTCTGTAAGAAATAGGTGACAAAGGTTCACTGGGTATTGGTTTATGAGTGATGGAAAGCTTTTCTCTTTCTGGTGCCCAGCTGACTTTGAGAACACGGTAGCATTGCTGCCAGCTGAAATCTCTGTGTCTCGCTTGCTATCTGTGCTGGAATGTTGCTCTGGATCTATCCATAGTCCAGCAATTGCACCAAAACCTGCTATAGGCCATTAATTCCTGGAGGCACCAGGGCATTTCTCCCTCCTCTGCTGTAAATAAACCACAGCCTGCCCTACCTGCTTCAGAATTAGCCATTCACAGCTGCTGGTTCCAGGCTTTTGGCCACTCTTGCATACTTTGCAGAACCATGTACTAAATTTAGCTTTCAGACCCTCTGCCCTGGACTTTAGCTTTAAGAGTAAAATTCATGCCACTACCTGTACTATTTTGGGTCATCCAGACCTTACCTGGCTCTGAAAGCCTTTCTGGCCTAGTCATTAACTTTAACTCAGACCTAATCTAGTTTTAACTGTAACCCAAGATTTTCAGTAGACACAGCAGGCTCAACTGATAGAAATTCCCCCCTGCCTCTACCCAGTCCCAAATCCTTTAACCCACCCTTTAACATAACACTAATTCAGCGATGGTGAACTCTTTCCATATCTGGTTCTAATGTATCTTGAAAGGAATATATCTTGCTGTTAATACCAATCGCATAGTTTTTAAAATCCTAATAGTCCTGCAAGCTTCTTTACTGTGACTTTTGTCTCTTGTTTCTTCCTAGCCAGTAGTAACCAGCCAGCTAGGTACTGTCAACAACATCATTCAGGTGAAGAAAACCGACTTTGAAGTATTCGATGCTTTGATGGTGGACTCCCAAAAATGTTCCGACATGTCTGGTATGAAGCTCCTGGTAATCTTATATTGAACCTATTAGAGCTGTTAAAAAATTCCCTCTTCATTTTTGTCTTGAGTTAAAGACCCAGGACAGATTCTCCACTTTTGACAGACTCTGTAGACCTGCGCAGGTATCACATATAAACAAAGGAAGAAAAAGGCAGAAGAGCCTTTGGCCAAGCACTGCAGGTCATTAAAGACAGATTAGGAGGAAGCCATGGACGCTTAATTGCAGTTCATTTGTCTCTGCAATATGAAATGGCTGTTTTTAGCACACTCAGTGGTGGATCTGTCTCTACCTTAAAACATCAAGCCAACGTTGACAGCCTGAATTCTTTCTAATAACCCTCCTTTTTTTTTTTTTTTCCCCCTAAGGAAATGGCCTCAACAGCTGGCTAAGAAGATGCCCAATAAGAGATACAAATTAGATGCATTTTAGTAATGCTGCTGCAGGCTCAGGAGTATCTCATATCGTCTCAGTTTAGTATAAGAAAACCATGTCTTTGAGCAGAACATTATGGAAAAGTTATAGGAAAAGAGGCAAGATTTACCTTAGCTTATCTCAGATCGGCTTGGCTACCTGTTCTTCATGGGCCTTTGTAGGCCCTGAAACCACGACTGAAGTGGCATCTTGCCTTCTTAGAAGACCTGTCGTTTTTATTGGAGGTAGAAGGTACCTTCAGTTGATTTTTGCTCTACAGCACTTTCTCCTGGACAAAGTTTTTTTTTGGGAAAAGAGTGCGATTTGTGAGATTGGGATTGCAAGAAGCCACGGAGGAGTCTAGCAGATGCTCTCCCATAAGTGCAGTAACAACTCTCTGTTATCTTGCTTTCTACTCTGAAGAGCTCTTTCTGGCTCTCTGCTGGAATAATACCTGCTTTTTACTTTGCATGTCATGACTTTAGTACTTAGTATTCCCTTGCAGATAATGTTGTGGAGCAATGTTTAGTACTAAGTGTTTGCTGTTGAAGTGCTGGGCAGAGATGATGATGAAATTATGGAGCCCTGCCTCCCAAATTTTTGCAGCTAGTCTCAAGGCTGACAGGGCTGGGATATCTTTAAATGTCTTTCTCTTAAGCTACAAAACTCTTTGCAGATTGTTGTTACTCTCTTCACACTGTAAGTGATCCTCACTGCATCATCTTCTATAGTTCTTTTACATGCCATTAGCTTCTTTTGGCCGCGAGTTCCTGGGTGTGACAATGTGCTTGGAGTATCCGTAAAGAGCATATATTTTTCCGGAGTATTTTAAGAGTAAATATTTCACATCTCTCTGGCAGAGTTGTCAAGTTCACCCCCAGGACCATACCACCAGGAACCCTATGTCTGTAAGGCAGAGGAGCGCTTCAAATCTCCACCCATTCTTCCCCCCCACCTGCTACAGGTCATCCTGAATAAGGACACGGGCATTTCTGTGAGTACTTCAGTGTCCTTTGCTGAATAAGGTCCTTGAGAATGTGGACAGAGGGAAAAACCTGTATACAGTCAAGGAAAAACATGGAATAATTGCCATATTGCTAAATTGCCTATTATGCAAGTCCAGACAGGTCCACCTGTAGTAAATTTCTCTATCTATCTGACTTGTTTCAAAATCAAAATGAGAACTGGGTTGCGACTTTACTTCCAGAAAACCAGATCCTCCCACTGCAACAAACACCATTAAAAATGTGCTGAAATTGTCAAAAGCATGTAGGAAATAACTGAGGTGTGTTTCATGATCTCAAAGATGATCCAAAGGGTTCCACGCTGTGAGGATCTTGGGTTGCACTGGGACCTCATCTGTGTTTGTTGATGTACTCCATACAAGAGGCAGTATTGGAGGGTATCCAGACAGGTATTGGCAGTGGTTATCACCCATCAGCTCTGATGATCAATTGTGAGTTCTTGGAGGTTTTTGCCACAGTCTCATGCCCCCCCCTTTTCTTTCTCCTCCCCAGTGTGATCCAGCTTTACTCCCTGAACCCAACCATGTAATGCTGAACCACCTCTACGCACTTTCTATCAAGGTGAGAGACAAGGCCTGTTCCTCCTCACACGCTCGACTTTCAGATAACCATGTAATTCGCTCCCTTGTTTTCCATCTCTCATAGGACGGAGTGATGGTGCTTAGTGCTACACATCGTTACAAGAAGAAATATGTGACTACTTTGCTGTACAAGCCAATATGAACATCATGGTTGTTTGTGACCAGGTGTTCTGGGCCAGGGCGGTCTCAGAAAAAAAAAAAGAAAGTATATTTTCTTAACCAAATGTACTCCTGCTCTGTGCTGTAGCAAACAAACTGATTTCATATAGTTTCTGAGACTTCCAGGTTCTATATTTGCCTTATTCTTAGTCCCAACTTGGAAGTTCTTGGAGGTGACAGCTTCACAGCAACTAGACTGATGACAAAGTGTCAGTGCCAACTGTCAGTTCAGTCAAAAACACTTAGATTCAGCTATGTAATCAACTGGGCTGAAAAATGTCAGGACAGCAGTGGATTAAAGACTTTGGCAGTGATGCATACTGTAAAAAAATACAAAAACCAGCCTAAAATCTAGAAAGTTCAGGATTCTTGTGGAATCAGAGTTGAGCTCAACACTAAGCAGAGCAAGCCCATTACTGCTTTCATAACTTATTGTATGCATCAAACACAATTATTTTAGTAGCAGGTTCCAAACTTGCATGGCTGAAATAAGTGTGAAACTTGATGTTTTGTAGCAGCCTTTCTAGGCAAAATCCGTGATACCATCACCCACAAGGTCATTTTGATTTTACAGTAGACTGGGATGCACTGTGTTCCTATTGTTAATAGCTCTGTAGCATTACTCTTCCTCAGAAGAGAAATACAACTTTTCCACTGTGGAATCTCTGGTAAAAACTTTTTTTTTTTTTAATAGCTGGATTTTTGTGTCAATCATACGTGTGTCTTGCAGTAATCTACTATTTTGTAACTGACTTCTCTTGCTGTCACTGATTAGGGCTTCCTTAAACTGGGATAGGGAGCTGCAAGAAAAGCAGAGCATTCCGTTTAGGGATTAGTTCTTCAGTAACAGCCTCTGTCAGATGAGTTGATGCCTGTAAGATACTGTGCAGCAACCTGTATCCCGGAGGCCAAACGTGTGGTGGAAACAGCTGTGTTGTGCTTTTCCGTGCCCTGGAGTTGGGTCCTTCCCTCTGAGCTGCAGCACCAGCAGCAAGTACAAACCTTTGCAAGCAGGGCTGTGGCATCTCCACGTTTTTTTTTCCTTCTGTTCCTGTTTTTCCAAATGAATCCAGCGATGCTGCGTGGCCTCTCCTCCGCACTGCCAGTCTGTTTCACCCCAAACCAAACGCAACGTGGCTAACGCAAACCGCCTGCTGCGCCTCGGCCTCCCTGGAGGAAGCAGCTCAGGACGGACCCGACGGGTCCTCTCGGTTGCTTGTTTTTTGGTGCCTGTGAGTGCCAGCGACTGTGCCAACGATCCCAGCCCACGTCCTCCTGTGGGGAAGACCAAGTCAGCAATAGCACGAGCGGGTGAAGCCGCAGCAGCCAGCGCCCAGCAGAGCCGGCCACAGCTCTGTTCACCAGCCTGTTGCAATATCCTGAGTAGCTCAGTAGAACTGGGTCTAGTGCAATGGTTTTCTCTGAAAATTGTCATTTATTCTGTGCTATTGATAGTCTTGATTCTGAAATACACAATTGCTTTTGTTTCCAAACTCTTCAGAAACAAGTTAAAAATAAAATATTTTTAAGAAAAGCAGATGAGTTGTTTTGCTCCTGTCCTTCCCCTTATGTTTTTTCAGCCTCAGCTTCGAGTTTGGTATTTTTAGAACCTGCAGTTGGTTGTTGCTGCTTTACACGATACACTAGACTCAGTCTGAAGCACTTTGTTATCAGGAAAGAAGATGAAGGCCGCTTTGGTGAGCTTTTCATGACTCAAAGCTTACACAAAGCAGAACACTCAAATACGAGCCCCAGTCATCCTTTAGTCTCAAAAACATAGTACCAGGCTTAAGGCCATGGACACTTTTGTGTTCCCACAAGGCTCTCTAAGCAGACCTGTTTTTTTCCAAGCCTTTCTCCTTGACACTGAGTGTAGTATCTGGCTGTGGTTTCACAGGCCACTGTGGGTGAAGGTGGCTGTGACTGTGCACTAGGAGAGCCTGTACCTCTGTAACGCTCTTATGAGCAGCAGACGGCACCTGCTTGTAAAGAGCTCAGTGAAGGGACGTAGGGAGATACGTGTACACACCATGTGCAAACAGAGCAGCCTGTAAGCACCCTGCCAAAGTGCAGAGGCTCATTACAATTTAAAGGGAAGGAGAAAGTGGTGCCAAGAGCAAAGGCGCCACCAGGGCAGTCGCAGGTCGTTCCCGTTACGGTGCTGGCCTGCAGGATTGCTGCCTCCTGGAAGGTCAGCTCACTCCGAGCAGCTGGACCAGGCCCGGAGCAAGAGGCACGTGGCCACAGAGCCCCCGGGGAAGGGAGGGGGGTGATGACAGCAGTGTCACCCCATGAAGTGGCCGGTACCACCTACCCCCAGCAGCCGCAGCCTCCTGCAGCTGTGTCAACCCCCTCCCAAAAAATAGCAGCAGGTTTTGAGCTGGGAACCCCCTCCCAGGTCCCCAAAACACACTGGGGGAGTGAAGCTAAGCAAAAGGCTCAATAACTTTTTTTTTTCTTTTTTCTTTTTTTTTTTTTTTTGTTTTACTCCACCAGTTTCTGGAATAAGTTTTAGTTTTTGTTACAATTCGGATCATGCATCATAAGGACTGCAACAATGAGGGTTAAATAAGTCATCTTTGTGCACAGTAAAATCAAAATAAAGGAACATTGAACAAGTTAGCATTTCATCCGATACATCCGCTAGTAGGCACAATAGATAAATCAAGCAGCTTGTAATTTTTTTTCGCTTTTCTTTTTTTAAATGTAGAGCAGTTTCATGAAGGATGTCATGGAGACCAGAATGTAATGGGAGCTATTAGTAACCCTCCCACACACCCTCCGCCAAGCCCTGCCTGGGGGGTGCGGGGGCGGCCGTGTGCACAAACCCAAAAACACGGAACAGTAGGAGGACAAATTAAGTTACTGTAGGCAGCAGTGTGAATATTAAAAACCTCTTCCTGTGAAAGAATACTTCAGACCCTGTAAAAACTGGTTCAGTTAAAAATAGATGTATTTACATTTAAGTCTGATCTAGCAAGTTTTCCCAGCAGGTGGAAGTTCAGCTGTACAGGAACCGCAGGTTGTACTCAATCGGCATTAGGGTTTTCATGAAGGTTTTTAAAAAGTTGCAGCTCTTAAGCCTTAAAGCACCAGCATCTTACAGCGGTGGGATGAGTAACTTTCTTCGTCCCCTTTGCTACAGGTACCTTGCTGGGATAAATCCCAAACCTGGCGTTAGATCACACTCCTGTTAATTAAGATGGTTTTTCCCAGCTCAAAGGTGAGGGTCGTCTAGCAGGGCCAGGCAGGGGGGCCCGGATACTCACGTGTCTTTAACGGCCCCGCGTTTAGCTCGAGGTGTTTGCAGCCACCTGCTGCTATAGTAAAGTATTTGGACAAATGCACCTGTGTTAGGTGGTATGGACATGCTTTACGTGGTGAAGCCATTTATGCTACGTGGTCAGGGAGTGACAACTATTGGAAGGCTAAATATTGTCGAGGGAAGCTCTTTGGTAAGCGAGGGCACCTATAGATTACACAGCCTCTACTGCTGGGTGCAAGGGGAGAGGGCTTAGCGGGCGCTACGGGGAAGGAAGGGTTCATTTCACCATGCCAGTCCAGAGAGTTATTTGTTTTATTTGGTTCTTGTTCAACAACAAAGTTCAATACTTTCCAGGTGGAGCTTGGAACTGTACCTCTGGTTCCCTCCCTTGTCAATAATAAAAAGGTAATGAAGAAAAACTCCTTAATTTTAGATACCTAAAACCTCGGCCTAACAAGCTTCAATTGCAATTTAATGTTACAGTATTTCTTCATGGGAGCGAGGACTAAGCTGAGGCCCCTACAGTGTCTGAAGATGGCTGTCCACAACCACCAGTAAAACAAAAAGCTAGTGTTGAAAAACCGCACAGTTTACAATAAAAAAGTAGAAACCAATTCAATTCCCTTTTGTTACGAATATAAAGTTTCTTGTAAATATGTACAGTCCTTTGAGCTATTTCTATAGCAGGAAGCATTTCACGAACAAGACACAAGATATACACGTTCAGGACTCAACAAGCCCGTTTCTGAGGTCATGTAGATCTTCCATGAGATGCAAAGATTTAAAAACTGCTCTCTGTGACCTTCCATAATATTCAGACCGGGAGACAACATTTTCAGCAAGTTTCCTGCCAAATCATCTGATCTAAAACAACCCAACAGACAACAAAATACAATATTCATGAAACTTGCCCAAGGACACTGACAAGGCATTTGAATTTTTATGGGTTTCTAAGACAGGTTAGCACGGGCTTGCAAGGGACTAGCAGAAGTTTTAGAGTGTGGCCAAGGGGAGATCAGATGCAGTTTTGCTCTTTCCAGTTGTAAAGAACATGGTTGTTCACCGAGAGCCTTTCTAGCGCAGAGTGAATGGTCGAAACCTGCTTCGAACATCGTCTGCTTTGTGATCACAGCAAAAGAGGCTAGAAAGCAATCGGGGCTTGAGGCTGGCTCTGCGGAAGCCAAGGCGGTGGTGGCGTCAGTAACTGCTAAAGCTGTTTATTGGGGGGATCCTCTTGTGCCATGACATTGGTTCTTATTGTACAACAAGTTACAAATCACCAGAGCAGTCAGTGTTGCTCTTCTCCCCCCCACTCTCCTTTGGAGCTTTCAGGGGCAAGTGGCATCTCCCAGGATTTGACACTAGGCGGATGTCATGTCTCAGTGGACAATGTTTAATGCTGGAAGGAGGAGACAAGTGTGACTGTAACTCTTGTTGTAGAATAAGGCCTGTAGCTCTTCACTGCCAAATTTCCAGTAGTTACTGGTGGTTATTTTGCAGTGCAATCTAAAGGTTTCAGTTAATTTACAAGTGAGGCTACAATACACTACTTAGCAAAGCAACCCAAAAGGAGTGAGCAGCCAGTGATGGTGCAGCAGCATGCAGTGAACTGTCATGCAGAAGACCTGGGTCACGTCTTACACCCCAGGAGCTTAGAGATAATGCACTTTGTCTCGGGATACACGGGATCATTGGAAGCGGGGTTCTTCCCTCCCCACTGGAACTGCTCTAGGGCAATCTTAGAACAAAATAACTTTCAAAAGTGGCAGGTGAACAGACTGCTCAATATTAAATTTTCTCAAGTTCTGTAGCAAATATCCAACCACACCTTCTACTGAAAGACTCAATCACCTAGACCCTTTTGTATCGAGGCCATCGGGATTCCCAGCACGTCTCAGAACTATGATTAAT